GATACAAAGCAAAGCACACCGACTTCGAAAATACTTGATAAGGTATGTATAGTGAATAAAAACTACCAATCAGTTATTTTTTACTTTTTAGTGCTTTTGTTTGAAGTCAGTTTTTATTTTTTTGTTAAAAAGTTTTTATTTTAACTCATAAAGTAAAAGATAATCATTTAGAGTTGATAAACAAAAACGATCAATGACAGTAATAACGTGTGCGCCGCCGTGTCTCATGTAACCGAACAAAAAGCTCTTATTGACAGGCGAAGAATGCTGCACTCAAAATGCGTTTGGACCGCGCCCGCACAACTGATAACGCTTCCGGCGAGGTTGTCGCCCTTCCGGCTCCTTATCGGTCAGCTGCTGTGACTTTGCGTTATCACTGCTCCATGCAGTCCCACGGGCTTTTGTATGCAGCTTTAGGGTAGGTGTGTCTCTAGGCTTATCGTCAGTTTACTAGTAGGTATATACTCGAGTCTAGTATGTTAACGAACAAAAATGTAAAAAACTATACTAATAGTTCAGGAAAGTTAGTAAGAGGTATATTATATTTATTATAATTTATGACACAGATAAAAGGTGGAGATTGATAAATATAAAAAAAACGTTAAACGAAAAGAAATCAAAAACAATCACAATTTCTTTTTAGTTTTGCGGTAAAGTAAATTAAAACGATTATTTTGAGTACTTTATGACACACACAGTAATTGAACAAATCAATTTATTGTTGTCCAAATATAAATGAATTAATAAGAGAAAGTTGGATCGAGAAAGGTGTCCTGGTACTTTTCCCAGTCCACGCAAAGTGCACGCATTCACGTTTCCAAGCATCAACAACAAAAACAAGTTGTATGAATCTCCTGCATATATTATACATTTAAGCTCACAATTATATGTTAATAGGTTTCTTCAAAATAAAACTAAATTAAATGAATAACATCTATTATGTATTTAAATCGAATTTTATCTCACTTATTGTATTTTGCCGCGGCTTTATTTTGAGTTTTTGTTACAGTCCGTCGGGAACAAAAACTTAAAATAAAACCACACCAAAAAATTGGTAAAAAATATAATTTTAAAAAGTCAAATATTCACGTAAATCTAGGAAACTATTTAAATAGATATGAGATATTTTTCTTTTACAATATGTAACACTCGCTCAAATAAGTAGTCTATATATGTATTTTGTTTTCCTTGTATGTGGATGGCAACAAAACAAAACTACAACAGTTTATTTAAAGCCTCCAGGATATATTAAGCATAATAACATTATCAGTAGGTAACTAACAATAGTTTTCCTGTTTCAAAATAGATTGTGCTACGTCGCGTCGTAGGTATATGTTATAACATCATTTTATATGGATTATAATTCAAGTTTCAATAATCCTTGAATCAATAGTAGTAGTAGGTAGTGTTGTATTATGGTCACTACGCGGAAACCGGACAATAGTGTTTCACCTAGAAACTAACTATATCATACTATATCTATGCTTATATAAATAAGATTTCGTTTCCAAGTTACTTAATAAATTCCCATTCACAGTGTAAAACTTTTCAAAATTTAACTATATCATTAAAATTTATTCTATGTTGATGTAATTAGTATGAATTATTCTAAACGATAAGAACTCCAATTCTAAAAGAAGTAGGTATAGAAGATAGACTAACTAAAAAATAACAAATTACACCTTTGTAAGCCAGACGTACATAATATGTACACAAGGTGTAAAGTTAAATATAATTTTCATCGGTAGGTGCCGCTGCATTGCGCGACCGCCGACCAGACGCTTGGCGCCGCGCGACGACAGCCGATCAATTAGTCGTTACGAATGATTGCCGTTAACGGTGTGTCAGGCATTACGTCAACACATAATTCGATTCTTCATCATCATTAATGGACCACTCTGCTGTTAGACGAAGGCCAAAGTCTTTAAGAGCACATGGCAGCTAAGTTTGAATAAAGGACTAAGATAAAATAAATATTTACCTTGTCACCGATATCATTGTTGGTGCCATTAATTATACTACGTGTTAAAAATACCAAAATATACGTAAAACAACATATTGTCGTCGAGTGTATTGCCTATTGGGTTAACGTACATGCGTCGCCCTCATTGCACAGAGCTATTCCGGCGTCACCTTGCACTGCCACTAGATGTACTGCACTGTTGCAAAACCGACACGATTAGTCATCATTACTGACCAAACCTCACTTTATGATTAATGCCAAATTATTTCTTTGATCTATGAATCTCCAATTATTATTATTTAATATCAATAGACATATTTAAATGTTAGTTCTTACTATTACTAAAATATATATGATAGTATTTACTAGATTTAATTAGTGTTACGTACGTGAATTAACCATTCGTTCATGGTTGTTAGATTCGGTATATGAAAGCTATTAATTTAAACAAAATTGTTATATTTTCACAAAGTAAATATAAATCTTCGTTTAGTATTTTTTAAACAAACTAAGACAAATCAATCACATAAGATACGAGAAAATAATTATCAGAAATATATTTAGCGTTACATTAAGCGTTTAAAGCACTAAGACTTAACAAGTAACATTACATGAAGTTTTGTATGATAGTACCACAAATATACAAAAATCACGTTTGGGTAAAACGATATGCGGTGTCAAGCAAGACGCCTTGGCCGCGATGCAGCAGACGGGTAGTCGCCTGCGCCACGCATTTAGGACGAGGAAAGCAGTTGTATGTAGGTACTTATATTGTGGTTTAAAATTTTATAATTTGTTATAAAGTATAACAAAATACAAAAAAAACGACTAAAAATTTTACAAAAAGTAAACTAAAAGCATCTAAGTTCGATTTAAATCAAACTGATGAATCATATAGATAATAGAATTTGTTATTTTATTGTTGATACTTAATAAATGTAAAGAAAGCAAACTAAAACTATTAATAACATGATAAAATGAATAACAGTTTTATCCAAAATATATGAAGATCATATAAGTGTACATCGTGTATCAACTATCTGGTATCCATAACACAAGCCTTGTAGCTTACCATGGAATTAGATGGTGCTGTGTGTTAATGTCCCAACATATTTAAATGATAGAGTTGTGAGAACGATTAAAGGCTCATAAATAATAGCTGGTGTTAGCTAAATCAGTGACCAGTACAGCGCGTTAACACGGAACGCAATCCATCCACGCGCACGCAGTTATTGGCAAAGGCGTCCGTTGAGACTAAAATTCACTTCGTGTGATGTATGGCATTTTTACTTACTGATAATTATTTGAATTTAATTATAAAGATTTAACAAAATGTAGCAATTCAAAATACTTGTTTTTAAAACAACATAGAAAAATAACAAAGCATGTAATTATTTTTTTTTCTAAAAAAAATTTAAATTCCATGCTTATTATTAGCATTTTAATCGGACAGGATATAGCTATTTAAATAATAAAAATAAATGCAAGTCGGACGACTACTTGGTCCACGAGAGAGCGCGAGCGGCACGAGATGAGCTGGCGTAGCGCCAATTAGGTGGCTGCATCGCGAGATCTCTGAAATTGACCTCCGCCTCTAAGCTGACTCACCACCGGTAATTAAGATGTCTTTAATTTGACCGAGGATATTCGAGGATGAACATAATAGTTATCTGAAATAAAAACTTTTTAACAAAAAAATAAAAACCGACGTCAAACAAAAGCACTAAAAAGTAAAAAATAACTGATTGGTAGTTTTCATTTACTATACATACCTAATCAAATATTTTCGAAGTCGGTGTGCTTTGCTTTATATGGGCTGGCACCGATTTCTAAAATATTTGATTAGGTATGTATTTAATAGGTAGGCTTTAATTACTTAGCCAAAGAATTGAGAACCTCCTCCTTTTTGAAGTCGGTTGAAAAAACATACAGTCGAATTGAGAACCTCCTCCTTTTTGAAGTCGGTTGAAAAGATAGACTTTAAGAGATTTTTTTCATTAAATAAAGTGAACGTCACAAAATAAACGTTGTAAAATACTGGATTTACGAGTTTTAAAGTATTATCTCTAATTTAAAATAACTTTTGTTTAATTTTCATGTTTTCAATGAAATTTTGAAGTAAATTTCACTTAACACTATTAATTTACTGAATGTGAATATAATGTTATGTGAATAAAAATAGTGATGAAGATCGTTCAATCACAATAGCATCTGCTATGTAAGGTCACATAGCGCTTATAATTGAACGAAGTCCGATCATTTCTCAATATATTCATATCAATCAACAAAGAGTTTTAAATATCAAGTTCCAAGTAACCGATCATGTTAATATGAAAATTCCTCTCATCAAGCCGGCTGGCTGGGATCCAATCAGGTGCGAAGCGTTGCGTTTGGCCATAATGCCCGGCTAATAATACCCGGCCGGGCTGTCCGTTTATAGACTAACGAGAATAGCGTGCCACAGTTATAGATGTTCCTATAGCGCTCCGTAGACAAGCTAAATCTGGCCTGTAAATGTGACGAGCCAGCTTTATATACGAATCAAGCTTTAACCCCACTTACATGTGAGAGTTTTTAAAACCAGCACCCAATAAGTAAGTTCTAATTAAGTTTTTACTGTTTTTTTGTATATTATTTTTGACAAAAAAAATTGTTAAGTAATTTCAGAAATGAATAATTCGATGCTATTAATTGGATGAAATATCGGGACTCGTAAATGTAAGTAAAAAGCCATGGTATATATCCCGTTTTACTCCATAAAAATTATTGGGATGCTCTATAGAAAAAGTTTAAATAATATAATCAAAATTTCAAATTGAAGTATTTCCGCTTGAAATAAAATATCTCAAACCGTATTAACATATCAGTGCTTTACTCCAAATAAACTTTAATTATATTTCATTTATAACTGAAATTATGCATAGATAAATATACAAATGCAAAAATCTAAGTACCTGATGATGATGATGTTCTCCTGACCGATTCCGGCCACGGCGGCTAATCTCATTGAGACTAGCCAACTGCGCAGGAGATATTATAGTGCACAAGTGTACGCGCACACACAAGTGCACTCTCTATTCCTGTCACTCTCATACTCCGGTGGGACGACTGCTCGACACGACCAGTGAGAGTTAAGACGCAGGACCGACGGCTTTACGTGCTCTCCGAGGCACGGGGGTGAAACACCGCCAACTTCCCAACACCGGGCTGTTACTGACCCGGGACTCGAACCCAGGACCTCCGGGTGTGCAGCCATACATGCTAGCCACTACACCACCGAGGCAGTACCTACTGACCTTACTATACGTAACAAAGGACATGTTTGCCGCCATCTCTGAATAGATGTTTACCTTTAGCCTCGTAGCTTCGATAAGTTTTCCTCTACTTCATATCTATATCTAACAGTTTTGGATTTCTAACTAAAGAAAATAGCCTATCTATGTGTAGACGACATATGCCACGAGCTTTTTGTATAGAACAAGCCGAAGTTTAACTCAGTATTTACAAAGTCATTGTTATATAGATATATTTTATAGTATCAATACTTACTACTATGAAAAAAGATACGTGAATCTTATATATATATATATAAAAAAATTTGGTGTTAGTTACACTATTTATAACTCCAGAACGGCTGAACCGATTTGGCTGAAAATTGGCGGGGAGGTAGCTTAGAACTCAGAGACGGACATAGGATACTTTTTATCCCGTTCGACCGCGTTCCAATTTTTATGATATTTTAATTTTTGGATTTCTCTTAGTCCGGAATAGGTAAGTATTAAAACATCAGAATAATTAACGAAAAAAAATTAAAATTTATATGGCTTACGCTGGCTAATAACTTTTTATATCTATTTAAAACGTACCTAGCGACGAACCCGAGCGAAGCGAGGGTGAGCCGCTAGTATACAATAAAAACTAAAAAAAAACGACTTCCAGGCACTAAAATGTAAAAAATATCTAAACGGGGGTTTTCATTTAGAATAGATAGATACCTAATCAGATATTTTCGAAGTCGGTGCGGTTATAATAATAGTTGTTACAGACATGCTACATTGGATGCACTGTACACTGGCCGCGCTAATATTTCTCGGGAATACGTCGACGAGAGCCGGAACAAACTTGTGTCTGAAGTCGAATCTCTGTTAACCAAAGTCTCGGATTGGGGTCGACAAAACTTAGTTTTTTTTTTTTTTTAACGTTGGGAAATGCATTTACGCACGACGTGTGGGACTCACCGGCGTAATACAGCCAGTACTACCCACTAAAACCCAACAAAACCTTCCCCCGTCTTAATGGGGCGTCGCAGGATCGCTTACGCATTCAACTACGACGCCCCGACGGCAGGTCTGCCGAAGCAGACCACCACAACCATGGGGTTGCTCCACAGTCCACTCTGCTATCAGAGAAGTACCAGGAGCAACCCGCATGGTACACCGCCCCCCGGAGAGGGCCACCTCCCTCCGCCCACCGAAGTGGGCAACCTCCCTGTGCGTTTCTTAGCTTCGCGCCCGGTTGGATTGCCGGGCACTACTGAGCCCCCCCACCACGACAAGGTGAACGCACGTTGGGGGGGGGACTAAAACTTAGTCCAATTCAACCCCAAAAAGACACAAGTTTGCGCGTTAACCGCTAAAAAGTCGCCGTTTATCGTAGCTCCTCAATTTGAGGACACTCCTCTGTCTCCCACAGCTAGTATCGGAATACTTGGCGTCGACATCTCGAGCAACGTCCAGTTCCGTGGTCAATTGGAAGGTAAGGCCAAACTGGCCTCAAAGAAGCTTGGTGTGCTCAGCAAGGCGAGACAGTACTTCACGTCGCGTCAGCGTCTTATTTTTTATAATGCGCAAATTCGGCCCCACATGGAGTACTGTTCTCATCTTTGGGCGGGAGCTCCCCAGTACCAGCTACTTCCATTTGACCGCATTCAACGTAGGGCGATTCAAGTTATCGACGATCAAGCTCTCTCTGATCGGCTTGATCCTTTAGCTCTGCGTAGAGATGTTGGATCACTCTGCATCTTCTACCGCATCTATCACGGGGAGTTTTCCGAGGAATTGTTCGGACTGATCCCGGCTGCTGAATTTCACCATCGGACATCGCGCCAAAATAGTAAATTTCATCCACACCATCTGGATGTCCAGCGTTCCACAACAGTGCGATTTTTAAGGCATTTTCTGCCCCGCACAACCACTCTGTGGAACCAGCTACCGCCGGCGGTCTTTCCGAACCGCTACGACCTGGCCACCTTCAAGAAGAGAGCGTATTCCTTTCTTAAAGGCCGGTAACGCGTCTGCAAGCCCTGCGGTGTTGCAGATGTCCATGGGCGGCGGTGATCACTTTTCATCAGGTGAGCCTCCTGCCCGTTTGCCCCCTTAGTCCTATAAAAAAAAAAACAGCCTACCCACAAATAATAACATCAATTCAAAAAATTGAAAAATGGCACCAAAGTAGCTTACAATTACTACTAATAATACTTTAAACATTTTTATAATTTTAATTAGTTGTATAATTGAATATTGAATATTATTTATTTAATTTTAGCTGTTACTAGCATTACCCGCGGCTCCGCCCGCGTTTAGATGACCAAAAACCAAATTCTTAGGTTTCACATATTAGTATACTCTTACATTGCAGTTTTTGTACTGTTTCTCAGAAATGAGATATTTTGCCGCGGTAAAAAGTATCCCTTATGTTGACCCGGATAAACAGCTATCAGGATACCAAATTTCATCAAATTTCCTCTAGTGGTTTTTCTGTGATGCGGTAACAGACAGAAAGACACAAAAATTCTAAAAACTATAGATTCGGAATCTGTATCGATAATAATGTTTATTTCAATAAGATTTTCCAAAAAATATCTAATGTACAGATTCGGCTTAGTTACAATTTTATTAGTTATATGTATAGATTATTATATTTATTACAATTTTGAAATATTAATTAGTAATCTATATTTAGTGTTGCCATTATTATATTTATAACCATAAAGATAAAATAAAATATGAATTATTTAAGCCACATAATAATTGTTCTATGTGTAATTTAAAAAGTTATAATTGCTTAATTAAGAATAATAATTTAAAATTTGGTCGCTATTATTTAAAAAAGAAATTATTAAGCAACATTATTACTACATACATTTACAAATGAAAAAATTAATTTGAAATGCTATCATTTTGATCCATACAGTAAGAACTTACTACATCTACCTGTCTGTTATGTATGTACCAAAAATTAAAATAAATTCGCGAAAAAATCTGAAAAGATAGTTTTATTTAAAATGTCAAATATTCGCGTAATTCTAAGGAAGTATTATAAAAATGGCACGAAATAAAATAACCTACCTAAGCAAAATAGTAAGCTATTCATTTTGTCATATTTCGTTTTACACATTATGTACGGACACACTTACTGGTACAAAATAAATATGTGAATATAGGAATCTAATCTAGATTTTAATGTTAAGTCTTCGTACAATTTTAATAAAGCAAAAATGAACCCATGTATTTTTTTATAAATCTGCACATCTACTTGTAGAATAAACTAGTACATATGTACATACTCATATATTGTATATACATATTATGTACCTGTAATTGATAGACCTATAGTTAAAAAAATTGCTATATTTTTAACCACTATGAAGTATTTTTACAGCACCAAGTCTAATATTTTATTTAAAACAAAAACTATATTTTTAAAATGAAACATAGTGTCTGACATATAAAAATAGGCAACACAAACAATACGCCAATTTCATTTTCGTGTCAACGTATATACATAGGTGTGTAAAAAATAAAAATAAGCGTACGATATTCCAAGAGGTTCGACTAATAAACAGAGCTCACCTGTTGCGTGTCGTAGGCCGCCCTAGACCTTCGGCGTGGGCGCGTTACATGCGGTAGGTCGCTGAATCAATTCCTACACGCCCACTTATCCTACATTTCTATCAAAACCAACGAAAACTAATATCTTTTTTATGAATAAATCCATACTAATATTATAAATGTGAAAGTGTGTTTGTTTGTCTTTCTTTCACGTCGAAAGGGTTTGGCGGATTGGCGTGATTTTTTGTGTGGAGATAGTTGAAGGGCTGGAGAGTGACATAGGCTTCTTTTTACCGTGAGAGATTATCTTACTTTCCCACGGGAAAACACGTTATAATACAATCCAAAAAATATTTATGATCAGAATTACCTAAAACTTGGTATAATTGCTCTTCAATACAATTATTAAATACGTGTAATACCATTTTTCAAAATTCATCTTATAAGGGGTCAAATAGCGAATGAAAGTTTGTATGAAACTTTTTTTTTGTAGGTTTAACGCGAGCGAAGCCGCAGGTTCTGCTAGTATTAATTGAACAAAAGTTAAAGATTCTTAATAATCTGAAACGTAATGTAAACGGTACCTGTAGTAGAATACTATAATAATAAGTGTTAGAACTAGATTTAGACGATGCATAGCGTATAACATCCCAAATCCTAGTTAAGAGTATAATTAGTAATATATTCTCAGGATAAGAATGCAAATGTGCAAAAATGAAATCACGTGTCTGCCCGAAAGAGGCGCCTTGGCGCCACCGCCTCATAAGGCTCATTCTCAATCGATTGAGTTCAATTCATCAGTTTCTATTTATTTGAAAAGGTTAAATTGATGAAGTTGTATTTATGCAATTTATCTTCTAAAAAGTAACGTACACTCTCCCCGAATAATTTTCGATCGATTAATATTTTTAAAACGATTATCGATATTACAAAAGTGTTTACAATATTTTTCGAAAGTTGACTTTTACTCTAAAAAAACCATTCACCACTAACTGAGTTTTACCGGTTATACGATTTTGACTTGATTTTTTTAAATACGAGCATAACGACCAACGAGCGTAATGATTAAAAGTCGCTTATGTCGAAATTTGCATTGCTCATACATTTACTTACATATCTATTTACATTTCTCAGAATAAACATTGTATAACTAGATAACGATATTAGAAATTGCGAGTTCTGTACATACTATCTGATAGCCGGCCGCGAGTTAATAAAGTGTCACAAGTAATAACAGTAGGTAATATTTGAAACGAGGTCGCAGACACGCTTTTTCGAAATCAAGGCTTTATGTTTATGTAACTTTTTTTCGAAAAGTTCACTTGACATTTTCGGCTCGCTCGTTTGCATTCTTTGATTATATTACGTATATCGCTTTTATTTTTTATCCTACCGAAATTATTCACTTCTATTTTAGGAAGAAAAC